GGCTTGGGTCTGAGTAATAACAAGTTAACAACCCTCAAACCTGGCATGTTCACAGGGCTGGGAAATGTGCAGAGCCTTTCTCTAAGCGATAATGAAATGACTGATATTCAGGCTGGAACTTTTAGTGCAACATCACAGCTAAGAAACTTGAATCTGCATAATAACAGGTTAACAAACCTCAGATCTGACATGTTCACAGGGCTGGGAAACCTACGGAGCATTATGTTGGATGAGAATGATATCATTGGTATTCAGGCTGGAATTTTTAATTCAACACCACAACTTTCGCTCTTGTACCTGCAAAACAACAACATTCAATCCATTCCTTCCAACTTACTGATAAATTTAATGCAACTTGCAGAACTCAGACTGTCTGACAACAACATCACAATGTTTCCCTTTGAAGACTTGTCAACCATTCAAAGACTTAATTATCTTCATCTTCACAATAACCAAATGACAACCCTTCCCTCTATGGCCTATGACATACTCACCTCCATCTCTGATGTAAAAATTAACAACAACCCCTGGCAGTGTGACTGTAGGATGGTGGACTTTAGGATAAAAATGACCGGGTCACGTTCATTTGAAAACCAAATCAATTGTTCCCAACCTGACAGCCTCAATGGGCAGAAGCTTATCGACATCAACCCTGAAAATCTTTTCACAAACTGTCAAGACCCAACAATCATAAGATTTGAGAGGAGCAAAGATAACATTCTGGTACATGGTGACACTCTTCATTTGGTTTGTGAAGCCACAGGAATCCCCACACCAGACATCACAGTCATTCTTCCTTCTGGACTGAATGCTACTTTAGATGTGAACAGTACCATCACCATCACCAATGTCACTGCAGCAGATGCTGGTTTATATGTCTGTATTGCAGACAGTCCTGTTGGTACTGCATTTGCCACCCTGTCTGTAGATCTGGCCTATGAAGAGCCAAGTATTCTTAGGTTTGAGAAAGTCAACATTGATCCATTGGCACAAGGAGAGACATTTCGTTTGGTGTGTGAAGCGTCAGGAATCCCCACACCAGACATCACAGTCATTCTCCCATCTGGGCAAAATGCTACTGTCGCATCAGTTGGTAGAGTAACTGTGGTGGAGAATGGTACATGTAGAAACACAATAGCCAACAGTGCAGCAACAGATGCTGGTCTGTATGTCTGTATAGCAGTAAATCCAGCTGGCTCCACTTTTGCCACCCTGGTTGTAGACCTACATACTGTGCAAACAACTGTTTTACCACCTTTACTGACACCACCTCTTGGTACAACCTCAAGCAGCCAAGAAAGCACCACTGACCATGACTCTGCTACAACCTCCTTCTCTCCACCTGTTTCTGTTGTCTCTTCACCTTCAAAACAGCCTGGATATGTCCCCACTTTCTCCTTGCCTGTCCTCCTTGCAGCTGTCTGTGGTTCGGTAGCCGGTACTCTGTTTATCGGTGGCATCATTCTCGCCATCTGGTGCAAGAGGAACAACCAGAGTGCTCACAAACGCCCAGACTTCAGCGTTGTTTTTAACAACACCAACACCACAACTACTGTGATCACCAATGGACACAATCTGACAGGGCAAACTCAGCCCCAACCAACTCGGCCACCCTCCTCCCAGTTCGAACCTTACGAAGACGTGCAGCCTCCTCTAAGAGATGCAGTTCCGAGCCAATCCGCTAGAGGGCAGGCCCTCCGACCACCCAACAGGAGCAACAATGAACCTCCCCCAGTCCCCCCTCCCCGCACAGCTAGTGCTACTGGGTATGAGAATATCCCCGAGCACGCCTACCAACCTCTGGCACTCACTAGGAATCAGCCTGACGCTTTTCATCACTACCAGTCACTCAGAAGGACCTAGATAGATTCTGTAAGTTTTTTACAACCAAAAGATTTAATTCCCACTCTTAAGATTAAAAAAGCCAACAATAACTACACATGTAGTAGACAAACAACCAGCCTGAATGTCACACAATGTCACTATTCACGTTAGTGCTGCATGTCATAGTTACATTTAGTCCAAACACTCTCAGCTTGTACAGCCTTCATATATATATATAAAGAGATAAATGTAAGGCAGTCACTCAGAAGAACATAAATTAGATCCTAAATTTTCAAAACTCCCACCCTTAAATTAAGAGAAAAAAAAACAATAAGAGGAGATAAACAACCAGCCTGAATGTCACTCAGTTACATCTGTTTTCAATAGTGATGCATGTTATAGTTACATGTACATGTAGTTAAACACTCTTAGCTTGTACAGGCTTAAATAATATACAAGAATTATAGCAAGAAATGAGAATAGCCATCTAAATTATAACCTAATTTGATGTAAGAATCATGAGTTGATGAAAATAATATACATGTAGTCAGAAGGATCTTCTATTTCTAAAAGCATTTTATTGGTTTGGTCATATTCATTGTTCAGTAGTTAATGATTCAAAGAACTTTAGAAATAGAATCTGATAAATTGTAAAAAGTCATGATTAATATTTTGT